ACTTCCCTTTTTTCACAAACCTGAATCTAATCCATCAAAATAATCATATCAAATTCATCTTCAAAACACATTCCAAATCTAATCATTTCTTACACCTGCATCATCATAGGTTTAAATAACCATTGTCTCTTAACCTGGATTACACCAATAGCCTTTTAACTTTTGAACAGGATATTCTCTGACTTTAAACCCTCCAATGGCTACTTACCTCACTCAGCATAAAAATAAATACAATGGCATTTAAAGTTCTACTTAATCTGCCTCCCCACTACATCTCTGACCTGATTTCCTACCAATAATCACCTAATTTATTTGATACCAGGTTCATGGAACTCTGTGCTGCACAAACTATACATAAAGCAAGCTCCTAAACCAGGCCCTTGACACTGTTGCTGCATCAGCCTGAACACTTTTCCTTCAGATCCCTCCATTCTGGCTCCAAGACTTCCTTCTGATCTTCTCTCATACATCAATTCATCAGTGAGGACCTCCCTGACCATCTCATAGAAAACGTCAACTCCTGGCTGGCCCTCACATTTTCTATTCCCCTTATTTTACTGCATTTTCTCAGTAGCAATTCTGGCCATCCATTATGTTATTTATCTACTCATTAACTTGTTTGTCTCTCTGTCTCCCCTAGAACCTAAGTTCAGAGGATAGGGACTTATCATTTTGTGGTCACTATTTTGTCTTCCATGCCCAAGGCTAAGTAAGTCCAGTGCATAGTATGCCCTGAAGTAATACTGAATATATAAAAAGGAAGGCAGAAAGAAATACAAGAGGACTGTTTTCATCAACTTAAACACATAATTTAACCCATTTTGGACTCCAATTTTCCTGCTGTGTAAAACATGAAGTTTGAATGTTTTAATCTTTGAAGATCTCTAGCACGCTGTCCTGCTCTGGAGTGGTCACAGCTCACAGGATAGCCCTGTGGTCAGGATGGGCACATAAACTATCCTAATATTAACATACTAACGCATTTTTTTCTCCTGAAAATTTGAATATAGCAGAGATCTGTGAGTTCCCTTTATTCTTCTCTGGATAGAACTTAACTCTTACTCAGTTTCTTCCCATTATTAAGGAGTAAAGTATGGGTTTTATCTATAAGGTCAGAAGCAATCACCAAGACCCACATTGACATTACAACAGATTTCCTTACCTCCACTGCAGTGGGCAGCTGGAGCAGGGACTGCCAGGACTGCTGTGGGCTTGTGGGCTCAGGAAAAAGGCAAGAGGAGAAGTAGCCAGAACACAATCAGCACTAAACGGGATTTTAACAAGGGAGAAAGCTGGAGTTGATGAGGGTGAGAACTTAGGCTGGTTTATATCGGCTCCTCGGCAAAGAGTAGAGATTCTGACAAGGACCACGGTAGGAAAAAGAGGGTCAGTGATAATTTATCATCCAAAAAGAACATATTTAAAGTAGTTAGTTTAGAAATCAAGAAAATTAAGTGGTCAAAAATCATTCTCAAATATTCTACTTCAGTTCCAATGTCAGCAAAGAATGATGGGCTAAAATTTAATCTACAAAATTAAAGCCAAAAGTTTAAGCTTTGACTATTCAAAGTATTTAGAATTGACTTTGGGACAAACCAAACACTGTATAAATTTGCAACTCATCAACTAGTAAAAAGCAGGTAACAGTTCATGTTCAATGACTAAAACTTCCTAAAGAAATGTATATGTCCACAAAAGTAAAACATTCTCAAAAGTTTATAAATTTCTGACTATATCTACCATGACACCAACTTATTTGGCTAACTCTTCCCTAATGAGTACATTAAATTATGTCATTTCATTCCCAACAATAAACTTTGCTTCTATTTAAATGTGCTTCTATTTTAATTTTAAATTTAAATTTCTGGGTTCCTTTTCTCCCTGAAAACAATCTAACCATCTTTTTATTTTTATTTTTTGTGGTGCTGGGGATCAAACCCAGGGCCTTGTGCATGCGAGGCAAGCATTCTACCAACTGAGCTATATCCCCAGYCCCAATCTTAATATGTTCAGTCCTACTGAAGGTTATTAAATAAGATAATTAGATTCAAAACAGACAGGTGATAAATACAGATTTCTAATTTGTTGTCAACAGTAGATATGACCCAGATGATGAGAAATAAATGACAGATTTACAGTATTTAATTTGCTATAGTATTGGCATGGCTTATATATACATATAAAATATTTAATTATAATATTTTAATTACAAGATTAAAAAGTTACTTAAGTATCATAAAAGCACCTAACCCGTTTCAAAATAACACTACTTTCCTGTATTATTACTGCTGACTCTTTAGAATATGGATATGGTGATCTTCTGCTTATGTTTAATTACACATATTTAGAAGAAATCTTTGCCTTCCTTCTCATTAACCCTTGAACTGACTTCAGCTTATTTCTTAGGTAAATACATTGGAGGCAGGTGTGATAAAATAGGAAAGGGGAGGTTGGACAACTATTTAAAATTAGTCATGCCCAAATTTCCACAAGCTCAACATATTTTCCCTTTATATAAGTTAGAGATAATTAAACATATGCCACTTAATATTTGTTAGCATGAACAATATTGCTTATATCAAGTTTGAGAGCCTTAAATCTTACCACATAAAATGAAATTTAAATATTTTGATGGATGAATATATTATTGTTATTATAAAAGTCTATGACAACCAAATTTCATTTCCTTTTTAATCCTAATTACCACTCTGCAAACTGGTTATATGATGGGGTTTGAATCTAAGAAGCTGTGTTTGATAATGGAAAGATGATTTATAAACTACTTACTAGTTCCTTGGGTAGTATTTTCCAAATTTAGTCATTAAAACAAATACAAGGATTCCCAATACCACTGTATCAATATTCAAAAAGCATGACTATTGACCACTTACATTTTTTTAAACTACAAACTACATTTTAAAATTTCATTTTCCTATCAAGTCATCTTTACTTTAAATTAAGTTTCTTTTTTATGGCCATTTATAAGGGAATAAAATGCCCAATTATTTACTTCAAACAAGTGCTATTTTCCGGGGTCTGGTAGAATTAGTAGTAATTCAATCAATGAGCATCAACAGCCATTGAAAGGCATCAGCCCAAAGGAAGCCACTGAAGAAATCTGACTAAGCCATAATGTCTGGGCATAAGCACTAACACCCAGGAAAAAAATCTGAAGTGCACTCTCTCCACCCTGTGAGTTAAGCAAAGGCATTTCAAGGTGAAATGGATTCTAGGACTCTTCTTCCATTGGTTCTCTATCTGATCAATTCCCTTCATTAAATAAGCCTCAGTGGCTCTTGGAAATGTCACTCTGCAGTGGAGCCTTTCCTCATTTCTGAGACTTGAAATTCTCACATGATAAAGCACTTTTTTATATTGACCTATAGAGAAATAAGATTTAAGGCACATCCTAAAGGAGCCCCATTTTGGCKCTAAAAGGGCAGGTCTGAGGGTCTGAGCTGACAGGCTAGGGGCAGGAATGCAACACTCTTCAGTCAGAGGAGGTACTTTTCATTTCCATCTGTTTCTCACATTCCTGGGGCTTGTAYTTGCAGCTTTGACACTAATTTTAAACTAGCACTTGCTTTCAATACAAGGAAAAAACTATTTTCGTTGTTATCGCAATTCCCCAAGTGCCTAGGAACCCCTAAAATTATATCCAACTCAAGTTTCCTGAATTGGAAACTCCACAGCCTTGGGACAGGGACCACGAATTTGACCTTGAATTACTGAAGCCAGCTCAACCCTCTTCCCGACAGGCATCTCCAAGGCAGTCTTCATCCAAGCAAATGAAGCTGTGTTAGTTGGCATTAGTTCTTTTCCTGACATTCTCCGGTTTCCAGTCAGAGACCCCAGCCTCCTTACTGAATCCGCAGGCAAGGTGCGCCCAGTCTCTCCCTTCTCCGTTTCATCATTCTCCTGGCTATTCAAGCTCTGCCTTCCTTGGCCGGAAGTTCTCTCACACAAAGGATACATCAGCCAAAAGAAATTTACAAAGGCTCCCCAAACTTACAGGGAAAATTAAAGAACTTTTCTCCAAAACCATGATATTCAGAATCCCCTCTCCCCCCTAAAAAAAGACCTAAGAGCCTAGGAGGCAGTAGGGAGCCAGAGTGAATTTCAGATCCCAAATGAATCAGCTGTCCTCTGATCTGCTTGACATCATTCACACTCAGTAGACAGCAAATCAGAGCCCCAGAGAGCACCTTGTTCCTTGTCAGTGACAAGCACCAAATTCCCTCTCCGACAAATCAGCTGCAACCTCCAACTCAGAGCTGGCAGCAGTGAAGGCCCTGGCAGAAACTGTACATACCAACTTGAAAACTCACACTATGTCAGAAATACTATTAACCCAGGAGGCATAGGCCAGGCTACAACAGCTGTTGCAATGAGCTGGGGATTGGAAGATAGCTCATTAATTTACCAATTTGGGATCTGTAATATGCTAAGAATAATCGGGCATTTCTGCAACACTGTTCATTCCCAGGCCTAGAGAAGGATGACAGGGCCTTAACATTAGAGCTCAAAGTATAGTCTTATTCAAATTCTGACTCTGACCAATTTAAGGAACTCATACTGCTTGAAAGCTTGAAACCACTTTTTATTCAATTTCTATTATTATCTAATCATTTGAAAAATCTTGTAATGAGAAAAGCCATAAGGAAAGTTAAGAAAATAAATCCATGGGCTGGAATTGTGGCTCAGTGGCAGAGTGCTTGCCTCGAGCATGTGAGGAACTATGTTCAATCCTCAATACCACATACAAAAATAAATGAACAAAATAAAGACTGTGCCCATGGGGAAAAAAAAAAAGAAGCCCAGAAACTAATTTAATTTCATCCAGTAACCATTAATGAAAGCATGTTTTTTTTTAAAGAGAGAGAGAGAGAGAGAATTTTTTTTAATATTTATTTTTTCAGTTTTCAGCAGAAACAACATCTTTGTTTGTATGTGGTGCGAGGATCGAACCCGGACCGCACGCATGTGAGGTGAGTGCGCTACCGCTTGAGCCACATCCCCAGCCCAAATGAAAGCATTTATATGGCAGACTTTCTACAAGACTTTAAGGTAAGCTGCAGAAGATCTCTTTTGAATTAAGCTACTTAACTTGTGTATGCTTTGGTTTCCCCACCTGTGAAATGAAGATAATTAAGGATGTAGTGACGATAGATACATGTAAGACAGAAAGTACCTATCACAGAGAAAGCACCATAGAAGTGTTAGCTATTGATACCGGTCTTCCTCTCGGGGAACTATCTCCCACACTAAAGGGCATATGTCTAAATGAATAGGAAATCATCTGAGAAAGCCAAGGAACAAGGTAAACTGTTAGAGACTGGTAGCCAAAAGGTAAGCAACAGTCTTGACCCTGCTGCAGAGGACCTAGCTAACACCAAAGGGCTCTTCTCATTCATCTAAATGGTAGAGTATGTTAAACTGTTTTCTAGAGTAACATTCAAAGGACTAACTAATTCATACTCCAACCAGTGCTTTTTCAATGCAGGTCATGGCTCTTTGGAAAATCTTAAAACCAACTTAGGAAGTCAGGATCAACTTTTTTTTTTTAAGAGGATATAGAGATAGAAAAGAGAATATGAGAGCTTCACATACAAATTCTGTGAAATGTGTGTGTTTCTGACAACTACTGCTAAAATAATATAAACTATATGCAAACATGCATCATGAGTAGCAATGAAAATCTATTTGTTATTAAGTGTCAGCGTCTAAAATATTTGAAAGACACTGTTCTGTTCTGTTTTGTTTTTGATTTTTATTCTGGTACTAGGAATTTAATCCAGGGCACTGTACATGCTAGGCCTACCACTGAACTACATCTCTGGCCCTTTCTTAAATTTTATTTTGAGATAGGGTCTAAGTTGCAGAGACTGGCCTCCAACTTGTGATACTCCTACCTCAAATTTCCGTGCGGCTATAATTACAGGTGTTCATCATTGTACCAGGCTCACTGTTCTAGTTTAATCACCACGCAAGCAAATTCCCAACACTTAGCATCTTGTAGGCACTCACTCCCCCCACACACACATATTTAATTCCTCAGCTCTCACAGCTCCGGTTCTCCATGAGTCCTAAAGATAACCAAATTCTCTCTCAGATATGTAACACCTCTCAGTAGTGCACTTTGGAAAGCATCACATTGATATCAAGGTCAGTCACAAAAGCCCCAGCCTCAGGCTGTCTCATCCGCAGTTGAGGCTTCCAATTATGGTAGGGTTCTAAGTTTCCACTCGGTATTCTCCAGTTCTTCTTAATACTCAAGACAGGGCTCAACACTTTGCGGTACAGCAAATGAAACATCTACCTTTTCTTATTCGTTTATACAACTTGATCGCAAACTTAGAGCCAGGGTAGAAAGGCCTCTGACATGGATCACTCATTTTAGAGATACTGTGTTTGTGAAATAACATAAACACTAAAAAAGTTAGCTCATTAAAGAAATGAGGATGGGGGCTAGGTCTAGAGTGCTTGCCTAACATGCATGAGGCACTGGGTTTGATCCTCAGCACCACATAAAATAAATAAAATAAAATAAATAAATAAAGGCATTCTGTCCATCTACAAATACAGGGGGGRAAAAAAAAGGAAAGAAAGAAATGAGGATGCCTCTGCCAATGAGATATGACATTCTGCCCTAACAAAATGGAACCCTAAAAATCCACTCTTGTAACTTACTGTTTGGGTTCCAGGAAAACACTTGTCCATATTTTCATTCCCATATCCTTAAAAAAAAAAGGCAACTCTGTTGGAATTCCATGTGTGGATTATAAAACTGTAAATTTCAGAGAAAACTGTGCTTGAGAGTATGGAATATTTGGGCAGCACAGGGTTTTTGAAATGAAAAGACAACCTGTCAAATATTTCTTTCAGATAATATGAAAATAATAATCTATTGCCTAAAAAAATTATTGACTAATACTAGAGTTAAACATCCACTTACCTGACTTCCTTCTGTTTACATTCATGGTTCTGAAAGTACTCATAATTTAAGTGAGGGTTCATAACAATTGTACACAGCAATTGAGAATCATTTTGAAGAATTAAGGAATTCATGTTACTAGTAAATGTATTTAGGAACATTACAAAGGTAAGAAACCAACATTTTACACTGGCAAATGTTTAATTAATGCTAGAATCATAATTAACTTTTATAAAAATGCATATCAGAGGTAATTAGAAATTGTTTAAATAAGTTGAATTTAATCTTTAGTAATTTTGAATATTTAAAAAGAAAAATAATTTTTAAAGTATGGAAATTCTCCATTTTTGCATTTTAATTTATATTTTTGGTACTCTCTGAATACAACATCTTATTTTAAAATCCTATAGATCACTAAAAATGAAAATAAGTTGTACTCACTACAGAGGGGAAAATAAGGAAGTAGAGCTTGGGAAAGAAAAAAGAAAATTTACAAACAAGTTGTTCAACTTAAATTTGGAAAAAAACATTTGCTAACACCAAAAGTGAACAGATTTTACCTGTACTTTACAAAAAGGCACACATAAAATTATTATCACTGAAGAAAACAGTAAATAAACAGAAATCATGGCCTTCAAAAAAGACAAGTAAATTCCATGTAGAATGCTAATGTAATTGCTCTTAAAAAGAATAATACTATCTATCCAATATTTACCCAAATACAAAGATTCTCCCTTCATGGTTTAAAAGTAAAACAATCATAAAAAACAAAGGGAAAGTTAGGTTTAATGTAAATGATTATGAAATTTGATGCTAAAATGCCTAAACATAAAAGATGATTTTTAAAATGATGAAACAAATAGGATAGAATAAAGACTTAAATAGGGGGCTGGGGCTGGGATTCAGTGGTGGAGTGCCTGCCTTGCACATGTGAGGCACTGAGTTCAATCCTCAGTGCCACATAAAAATAAATAAATAAAGATATTCTGTCCATTTAAGAAAATATTTTTTAAAAATACTTAAATAAAATTAGTAACTTAACTGGTATTATAGTAAGAGACAAAAATTATGCCTAACATTTTTAAAGGAAAATATTACTCAATGCTATAGATTACAATAGGAACAAAATCATATTAGACAACAAATTATAATATACATATTACTGAGCTACGTGAATATGAAAAGAGGAAGCAAAAATGAATGAGAATTTCATTAGATTTATACTTGATGCAAAAAAATATACATTTTGAGAGAACCAAAAAAAAATCTTCCAATTTTAGGTACTKCCCTAAAAGACTAGAATATTTCCATGTGTAACTATGAGATTATGGAACAGAACTAGCCATTCCACTACAAACCACCATATGACTAGACAAAATCCATAAAGCAACAGTTTTCAGGCTCTGGGAAACGGGTAATACAAGAATATACACCCAGAAAGAAAGAAAACTCAAAATGTGAGCTGTCCCCAAACTGCCTGGGAACACTTTTTTTACATGGCACAGAGAGCTAGAGTTCAAATAGAGCACAGTAGTTCCACAAAGCTAAGGTGGCACATGTTAGAAGTCAGGGAAGCTAATCAAATAGACATTAATAATTCATCAAGAAAAACAACATATTAGGCCACAAAAGAAATCTTAAAAAATTTCAGGGCTGGAATTGTAGCTCAGTGATAGAACACTTGCCTAGCATGTGCTAGGCAAAAATAAATAAATAAATAAAAATAAAGGCATTGTGAAAAAATTCTTTAAAAAAAAGAAAAGAAATTTCAAAAGGTTAAAATCCTATAAGTTACATTGTCTGACCAAAACCTGAAAATTAATTACCATAAAATACCCCAATATTTGGAAAATAAATAACACACTTCTAAATAATCTACTGGTCAAACATGAAATGACAAAGAAAACTAAAAAATACTTTGGATTAAACTATAATGAAGATACATGTACCAAACTTTATAGAATACAGCTAAAAGAGTGCTGAGAGGGAAATTTATACCTTTAAATGTTTATACTAAAACTTTTCTTTGWCACAATTTTTAAAACTCTTGACACAATTTTTAAAGCTGTAAGAATTAATTCAAAGGGATTAAAACCCACACATTTAAAAGGTAAAATTATAAACTTCTAGATTGGCAAAGATCTTCATGATCTTGGGATAGGCAAAGATTTCTTGGACAGAACATGATTAGATACTAACCATGAAAACCTCACAAACTAAACAATATTATAATTATGACTTTCTGCTCTTTGAAACATGATATTCTAAAAAGGATAAGGTAAACCACAGACAGGAAGAAAATAGTCTCTCTCTGTTTTAGAAAAGTATATAATATCTGGAATTATACCTCTCTTACAACTCAAAAGTSATTTTAAAAACTCATTTTTTTTTCAAAATGGGCAAAAGATTTGAACACTTATTTCATAAAATAAGATATACAATGACCAACAAGRGCATGGAAAACATCATTATTCATCTGTGAACTACAGGTTAAAACCTCAGTGAGATACTAGTCTATACCTACTCAAAAGGCTCACATGTAGTAACACGTGTCAGTTGCAAATTCAAGCACATTTTACCTAGTTCTCTGCTAAGGATATCAGGAGGCTGTAATCAAGGTTTAACTGGGCTGTTTTCCGTTAGGAGACATGATTCAGGAAGAATTCATTTTTTGGGGGGAGGGCGGGAAAGTACTGAGGATGGATCCCAGGACTTCCTGCATGCTAGCCAAGTACTCTATCACTGAGCTAAACTCCCAACTCAGTAAGAATACACTTCTAAGCCCATTCAGGTAGTTGGCAGGTATTTCCTTGTTGCTGTAGGACAGGGGGTCCTAATTTCTTGCTGACTATCAGTTCCTAGAAGCTATTAGAAGTTCCTTTTCACCTAGGCTTTCCCAACATGGCTGCTTACTTCACCACACCAGTATGGTGTGGTGAATCCACTAGCTGGATAAAATCTTATATATTATAGTCCCAGAAGTGACAGCCCATCTGATAGGGTTCTGCTAGATTTTAGGAAACAACAGTTTATTGTCTTCAGTATTAATTTCAGTTATGTAAAATGTTTGCTTGTTAATGACCTTATTTTTAAAATCTGAATCTACCATCTTCTAGGTCAATGAAGTTTTATAAAAATACAGATAAAACTCACTGTATCTCTTTACTTGATACTCCCAATATATTTTCAGTATTTTCTTGGTTTGTGGGTCGTGTCACAAGATTACTATATATTATACAACAAGATATTTTTCCACTGTAAAAATTATGTTCGTGTTTTCTAAGTCAGATATAATATTCAGTGTCTTCTTTGAAAAGAACTTCTCTTAGCAACATGTTGTTAAGACTTTTTGGATTGAATTTACTATTCTTATTTTGCATACCACAGAAACAACTCAATTCCTTTGTTAGTTGTATTATTTTTATTATAAACATTTATCTGAACTTTCACCACTGAAAAATTATCGGTAATAAATTAATCACAGATATTTAAATCTTTGTCATCTACAGAGATTCTGTCTTATGCTGATCCTGTCAGAAGGCTCTGCAATCAACCAGAAGTCAGATTCTGTGCCTTAACAAAAAAGTACTCAGAGATTCAGAAAAAAAAGACTACAGCAGGTATTTAAAACCACTGAGATGTCAAAGAATAGACTCTTGGGCACAAGCTTCCAGTGGCATCACTTGGACAATTGGACAATTTCCAGGTAATTGAGTCAGAATTTCCAAAACTCTTTTTAGTTGACAAGCAGAATGTTAACCTAAGATTCAGTGAAATAAGAATTAACATACAGGACTGAATGAACTGAAGAGAGATGACTGTAGTCGTATGTTTGAAATGGTGTTTTATTATCTTATTTTCTATGTCAGAAATTCAAGCACATTTTAGCTCTCTGCTAAGGGTATCAGGAGGCTGCAATCAAGGTGTATCTGGGCTGTTTGTTCCTTTAGGAGACTTGATTCAGGAAGAATTCACTTTTTTGGAGGAGTGGGAGAGGGTGATAGGCAGTACTGAGGATGAGTCCGAGGACCTCCTGCATGCTAGCCAAGTACTCTACTACTGAGCTAAATCCCCAACTCAGAGAGAATACTCTTCTGAATCCATTTCTATATATGCCTACTTTCTATATGAGACACTGTGCATGTACAAAATGTAACAACAAATTCCATTGTTATATATAATGCGAGAATTTTTTTAAAAAAAAGAAATGAAAAGAGACATTGAAAAGGATAAAAGACTTATGAATATGAGGAAGAAAAATCCAACAAGGACCACTAAAGTTTCCATCTTGAGGAAGTCCTACTACTTAGTAAGCTAGAAAATAAGAGAAATGCTGTTTTGTGAGAAAGACAATGACTACAGATTCATAAATGCTGAATGAAGTTGAGATGTCTCTGCAATATCCAAGTAGATTATAGTAAACTGACAGTTGTGAGGGCTAGAAATATAAATGTAGAATCATGAGCTTAACAATGAGTTATTTCAACATAAACAATAACAAAAATGAGCTCTCAAGAATTTTTAGGTTCTATGTCCATATACTTACAGTTCAGTAACAACTATGTCCATTTTCTAAAAATAAAATAATTTCTGTAAAGAAATTAGTGATGATTACTGCAATACCCCTGCCAACTTCTGCCAATATTTGCCTTCCCTCTAGATAGGTAGAGAAAATATGTGAAATCATTTTCTATAAAAGACCAAATTTTTTTAAAATATTTATTTTTTAGGTGTAGATGGAAACAACACAATGCCTTTATTTTTATGTGGTGCTGAGGATCGAACCCGGGTCCCGCCCGTGCTAGGCGAGTGCTCTACTGCTGAGCCACAATCCCAGCCCAAAAGACCAAATTTTTAAAAGACAGGTTCTTACATAGAAAAAAGGTTACCAACTCTGCCTTCACAGTGCTTAAAGGCACCAAAATTACCACTTTTCAAAACCCCACAGAAAAACTAATCATCATCAATACCTCACGGGTTTATTACACTTATATATCAGGTGATATCTCTTTTTAGTATATTATCCAGAAGCACTGATCCAGACATCAAGTTATATCACAGTGGGGAAGTACATGACAATGTGTCAGTTTCAGAAAGACAAAGTTTCACACCTCACATCCTTGAACCCCAGGAAGGAACTCTTCAGGGCTCTAAGAATAAAAGCCAGCAAGACAGACAGACAGACAGACAGACAGACAGACACACACACACACACACACACACACACACACACCACAATGGGCGAGACAGCTACCTTCTTCACTCTTAAAATCATTCCTTACATCCACTGACAGCAGATATCCTCTAAAGAATAATGCAAGACATTTTGTGAAATCTGAGGCCAACTACCTTGATATGAAAATGATATTAAAAAGACTTGACTTTCTGGGTAACTTGTGACATGAACACTATTCACAAAGAACTCCCATTGGTAAGGATTAGATATTAGTGCTGAAATTTGCARACAAAACAAGTAATCCTAAATGAAAAGTATTGCCAGAAAGAGGTCCCGTCCACAGAATTATACAAAGAAAGCCATTTAGAACCATTTTTATCTTGAAAAAACAAAATATAATACTCTCCTGGCTTGGGTAAATAAATATAAATAACTTCAAAACTCCAAATACTTTTTTCCCAGATATGTACACTTAGAACAAGGTTATCAATTTCTTGAGGTATAATATTCTGCACTAGATTTTTTAATGCATTTTTTTAAAAACCTAGATGGGTTTAAATATAAATAGCTTTCTAAAAATGAGAATGATTTAATTTCAGGAAGATAAGTTTAAAATAAACGATATGTGACAGGCCAAAAGAAATTTCATAACCAACTCATCCCAACAATGCCCTTATCAGAATGGCAGACATGGCTGATGTTCTCATTCCTCATACTGGAACTTAACAGCTTTCTTTCCTATCATAACCTAATTACCACCACCACCCTGCCCCCCAGACTTCTGTTCTACACTCAAAAATGTCACCTTAAAGAGAAAATTAGTTCCTGAACAATCCAAATTAAAACGGAAATGTTTACTTCACAAAAACATATACCCTATGTCTTTTTTTAAATATATATATATATATATATATGTATATATATATATATATATATTTAGTTTTCTGTGGACACAACATCTTTTTGTTTTATTTTTTATGTGGTTCTGAGGATAGAACCCAGCGCCCCGCACATGCCAGGCGAGCACTCTACCACTTGAGCCACATCCCCAGCCCCAACCCTATGTCTTTTAACTGACTATTTTTCCTCTGAATACTCATTATCACTGACCTACCATGTGTGTCTCTGACTCTTTTTCGAGCAGAATAGAAACTCCATTAGTACAGGACTTTATCAGCTTTACTTACTATTACTATATATCTAATATCTAGAATAGTGTCTGTATATAATTGGAATTGCAAGGATTTACGGTAGATAAAGTTGAGCAAATGAAAAAGCAGATGGAGGCAAAAAGACAAACAAAAAATAGCACTTGTTATACCAAAAAAAAAGTCTAATAAATAATAGTGCCAAGACTCAAACCCAGGTCATCCTGATTCTTAGGCCTAAGTTCTTTGTTTCTAAGCTATCCTTCCACTTATCAATTTGGAGACATTGGAGGAACTACTTGTTGGGTGGAAGTACACATATATTTATATTTATGTTCACATTTGTTTATTTATTTTATAGTCTGGTAACTGAACCCTGGTGTGCTCTACCACAGAGCTACATTCCCAGCCCTGTTTATTTTTTATTTTTGGAAAGTTCTCACTAAGTTGCTAAAGCTGGCTTCAAACTTGTGATCCTCATGTCTCAGTCTCACAAGCAGCTGGGATTATCAGCATGCAACACCATGTCTGGCTAGAAGAGTATGTTTTACATGATGTTAAGATATCACATGTCTAAAAACCCATTTTATATTCCTGTCCATTTGAAAGCAGATACCATATTACAAGAAAAAGCATAACAAGTGAGAGCCTCCAAAATTACTGATATTCATTTATTTTATATTGCCCAGTTATTTTCAAAATTATGCTAAATTAATTAAGTGAAAATGAGGCTCTTAAAAGACAAGAACTAGCTGCAATCTCTAAATTTCTGAATCAACAAACTATACTTGAGAAAATATGCCAAAGGAATATTTAGGGACTTTATACCTAGAATGGAGCACAGTATCTGCTCCTGCAGGAGCCACTCTGGGAGATGACAAACAGGAATACAAAAGTAACGTTTCTCTCCTTCTGACCAGGACTCAGAGAACAATTATGAGAACTTCTAAAACTTTCCAGACGAGGCTACAAAAACAAGAAATGGCAGGTCACTGACTTTATGGATACCAGTTGCAAACTATAAAGTATTAATTCAATTTACTCAAACACATGGTGGAACAATCAATCATCTAGCTTCTCTATTATGAATTCTAAGAAATTCATTGTCTCCTTCTAAATACTATCTATAAACACTTATTCAGCTTTCAATAAAAGAGGTTCCATGGACCCTTCCAAACTGATTCTATGAAGCTAGTTTCACCCTGATGCCAAAACCAAACAAAGAAACATCAAGGAAAGAAATTTTCAGACCAATATCCCTGATGAACATAGATACAAAAATTCTTAATAAAATACTGTTGAGAGCCACAGTCGAAGGGGTCCCAGCAAACTTTCAGACTGCCAGCTGATGATTGGCTCACAGCGGCCCCATCAACTTCTAGCTGATTGGCTCCTCTGTGGTGATGCTCATTTGGCTGTTTTCCCGCCCTTTCAGACTGCCAGCTGATGATTGGCTCACAGCGGCCCCAGCAACTTCTAGCTCATTGGCTCCTCTGCGGTGATGCTCATTGGGCTGTTTCCCTGCCCTTTCAGACTATGGAGCTGCTCATTGGGGGACTTCTTTTGGCTCCGCCCACGCAACCCAGCCAATCGGCCTCAAGAGCAGGAGGATTGTGGGAGGTGGAGAGGCTTGTGATTTTGGGAGAGGCTTATGGGAAGCCGGTGGTGGCAGTTGGGCTCTGAAGATTTTCCTGAGGAGCTGTTTTGTTTGGCATGTGTGGTTCTAAAAATAAAGTTCGTTTCTTTTGACAAGTGGCTCCTGAATTGTGCCCAGCCAGACTGCGGCAAAATACTGGCAAATCATATACAAAAACATATTAAAAAGATGTTGTAGGGACAAATGAGGCAAGGTACTGAAGATACCAGGAAACAGTTTTATTTGGCTGCAGCCAGGTTCAGAGGGCACAGCTTTTGCTATAATCAATCAATCCCCTGAACCCCAAATTCAGGTAGTTTCAGAGTTTTATACCCAGCATGTAAGGGGAGGGGCTCAGAAGTTCACAGTCTGCAGAAGTTCACATAAAAACAGCTTTTTCTTTCACTGTTTTGGGCAAGTTAACTCTTCCAGGACAACACCTGAGAAGGGGGGAGCTTCTTCTCTCCTTTCTTTCCTCCCCCTGACAGTTGTTACCATGGAGCCCAGTTGGTAACTTATCTTAAAAATGTAGACATCTCTGTGAAGCCCAGCTCAAGGCCAGAGGACTTGTTTGCACATTTTTACAAACTACTATACTGGATATTTTTGTGAAAAACTAGTAAGGGGGTGTCCAGCACCTGGAGTGCTAGTATCTTCTCGGCCATGGCCAAGTAAAACAGGGCGACAGAAAAATAGGAAGTTTATCTACATTGAACTCTTTTGCACAGACTCTTTTGCTGACAGTCCTAAAATCAGCCATGGTGAAGATTTCTGGAGAAGCCCAGTTAACATTTTTCTATAGAGAAAGGGGGTGCCACTTCAAAGATAGTACACCATGATCAAGTGGGGTTCATCCCAGGGATGCAAGATTTGTTCAACATACAGAAATCAATAAACATAATTCATCACATCAGTAGACTTAAAGAATGACATAATTATCTCAATAGATTTGGAAAAAGCATTTGATAAAATACAGCATACAGGGCTAAGGCTGTAGTTCAGTGGCAGAGCGCTTGCCTAGCATGTGTGAGGCACTGGGTTCGATCCTTAGCACCACATAAAAATAAATAAAATAAAGACATTCTATCCTTCTACAACTACAAGAAAAAAAATTTTAAAAACACAGCATCCATTCATGTTCAAAACACTATAAAAACTAGAGATAGTAGGACATATCAACATTGTAAAAGCTATACATGCTAAATCCAAGGCCAACATAATTCTAAGTAGAGAAAAACTGAAAGTATTCCCTCTACAAACTGGAACAAGACAGGGATGCCCTTTTTTACCATTTTAATTCAACATAGTCCTGGAAACTCTAGCCAGAGCAATTAATCAGAAGAAAGAAACTAAAGAGAAACGAATAGGAAAAGAAGAACTCAAACTATCCCTACTTGCTGATGACATGATGCTACATTTACAAGACCCAAAAACCTCCACCAGAAAACTTCTAAAACTCATAAATGGATTCAACAAAGTAGCAGGATATAAAATTAACACCCATAAATCATTTGCATTCCTATACATCAGTGATAAATCAAATGAAAGAGAAATTAAGAAAACTATCTTATTCACAATAGCCTCAAAAATAAAATAAAATACTTTGGAATCGATCTAACAAAAGAGGTGAAAGACTTCTACGATAAAAAACTACAGAACACTAAAGAAAGAAACTGAAGAAGACCTTGGAAGATGTAAAGATCTCCCTTTTTCTTGGATAGGCAGAATTAATATTGTCAAAATGGCCATACTATCAAAAACACTATACAGATTTAAAGCCATTTATATTAAGGTTCCGATGACGTTCTTCATAGAAATAGAAAAAGCAGTCATGAAATCCATTTGTAAAAATAAAAAGCCCAGGGTAGCCAAAGAAATCCTCAGCAAGAGGAGTGAAACAGGAGGCATCACAATACCAGATCTTAAAATATACTACAGAGCTACAGTACCAAAAACAGCATAGTATTGGCACCAAAACAGACATGAAGACACAATGGTACAGAATAGAAGACACAGAGACAAACCCACATAAATACAACTATCTCATATTAGACAAAGGCACCATAAATATGAATTGGAGAAAAGACAGCCTCTTCAACAAATGGTGCTAGGAAAACTGGAAATTCATATGTAACAAAATGAAGTTTGATCCCTATTTCTCACCACACACAAAACTCCAAGTGGATCTAGGACCTACGCATTAGACCCGAAACCATATGCCTAAAAAAAAAAAAAAAAAAAAAAAAAAAATTGTAGGCCCAAATCTCCATTATGTCAGCTTAGGAAATGACTTCCTCAACAAGACCCCTAAAGCACAAGAATTAAAATCGAGAATCAATAAATGGGCCAGATTCAAACTAAAAAGCTTCACAGCAAAGGAAACAATCAAGAGCATGAAGAGAGAACCTACAGAATAGGAGGTAATCTTTGCCAACTGCACCTGAAATACAACATTAATTTCCAGGACATATGAAGAACTCAAAAAGACTTAATACCAAAAAATTAATAATTGGGCAAAAGAACTAAACAGACACTTAAAAGAAAAATACGATCAGCCAACAAATATATGAAAAAAAAGTTCAACATCTCTAGCTATTAGAGAAAATTCAAATTAAAACTACACTGAGATTTCATCTCACTCCAGTCAGAATAGCAATTATTAAGAATACAAGTAATAATAAATGTTGGGGAGGGTGTGGGGTAAAAGGTATACCATATATTGCTGGTAGACTGCAAACTGGTGCAACCACTCTGAAAAGCAGTATGGAGATTCCTCAGAAAACTTTGAATGGAACCACTATTTGACCCACTTATCACATTCCTTGGCATATACCCAAAGGACTTAAAATCAGCATTATAGTGACACAGCTACACCAATGTTTACAGTAACTCAATTTTCAATAGATAAGCTATGGAACCAATCTAAGTCCCCTTCAACAGATGAATGGATAAAGAAAATGTGGTACAAATACACAATAGAATATTATTCAGCCATAAAGAAGGATTAATTATGGCATTTGCTGGTAATGGATGGAACTGAAGACTATCATGCTAAGTGAAATAGCCAATCCCCAAAAATCAAAGGCTGAATGCTCTCTCTGATATGCAGATGCAGATGCTGATTCATAATAGGTGGGGAGAAGTAGGAGTGGAGGTTCACTGGATTGAAAAGTGGGGAGTGGGGGGAAGGAAGAGGGTATGGGAATGGGAAATAGAGTAGAATGAATTGGACATAATTTTCCTATGTTCATATATGAATACACCAGTGTAACTCCACATCATGTACAACCACAAGAATGGGAAGTTATATTCCATGTATGTATAATATGTCAAAATACATTGTGCTGTCATGTATAACTCAAAAGAACAAAAAAAAATTTTTAAAAAAAGAAAAATAAAAAAGAAGTTCCATGGAGTTCTGATTATGTGGGAAAGATGACCAAGCAGAAAGATCAAGTAACTAATACCCTCATTTAATGTAAGACAATTCAAGTCTAATAATCATAACTCCTATTTAAAAACTAACTTGCTAGTGGTAATATCTAGATTAGTGTCAGCCATGGTTTGAATATGGTTTGTCTTCTCCAAAATCCATGTTGAGATTTGATTTCCAAAATAACAGTACGGAGAAGTGGTGGAGGCACTGGCTTTTTGGCTAAGATCATGGGTAGTATCTGTTTTATCAGTTTAATATCTGATACATCCTCTATCCAAGGACAATATATTAAATAGATTTTTGGAGCAGGGAGATGGAATAGGAGCTTGCTTCATCCACTCCACACATCAACCTGGTATCACAGTACTTCCAGGAATGGTGCACCACCACCACCACCACCACCACCATCACCATCACCCGAGGCCCCGCACCCCCATGCCATTTTTGGTTTGTTAAAGCAGCTTAACTTGATCTTTTTCTTTCTTTTTATGCTTTCTTATATATTTTCCCCCCTCTCTCTTTTTTTTTTTTTTTTCTGGTTTGTTTGCTTTCTTTGTTTGTTTGTTTTTCTTTGTTTGTTTCCCTCCACAAGGAGGGATTGACGAAGCTGAATTTGATTCGGGCCCTGCATACTAAGTTCCTCACTACCTCCATGTTTTCCGTGGCTTTTTTTTTTTTAATAAACAATGTGCTTCTTACTAACAACAACAACAAAAAGGAGTGAATAGGTTAGGAAGGATTAATGTCTTTAGTGGGACTAAATTAGTTACCTCAAAAACAGGTTGCTACAGGTAAGCTGCCCTCTCCTATTTTGCCTCTTCTGCATATGTCCCTTTTCCTAAATTAAATTGCACAAGGACCTCAACAGAAGCTGAGCAGATGCCAGTATCATGTTCTTGGACTTCCCAGCTCCAAAATTATGAACCAAAATAAACCTCTATTCTTTATAATCATTCCAGATATTATAGCAACACAAAACACACTAAAAGCAATATTCATGTGTCCTCCCTTCCTCTGAACAAATATTTTTCTGTCTCTAATTTTAGAAATTAAAAAAAGGATACTTTGTATTGAAGAACTTAAATTTTAACAGGAGCTCCTCAAAAGAGAATTTATCTAACTGAACCCTTTAACCTCAGAATTTAGAGTAGTTCCCAGCATAGAAGAGGTGTAAGTGGATATTTAATGATGATCAATTTTTAAATGTGAATTGTTATTAAAAAGAGGAGGAAAAGATCTTTTTGATCCTTCTTAATTAAACATTTTAAGGCAGCTGGAGTAGGCCTAACTTTGGATAGCATTAAAATTACCAAAAAATTCCTCTAGTTTAAAGCTAACATGACCAAAAATTCTTCCAGTACCAAATATTACTAAGGATATCCCTTCCCTCCTCTTCCTCCCC